ATATAATTGAATTTATTTTTTTGCTCAATAATTTTATTTTATTTTTTGGTTCACTAGTTCAACCCACATATATTATATAATTGAATTTATTTTTTTGCTCAATAATTTTATTTTATTTTTTGGTTCACTAGTTCAACCCACATATATTATATAATTGAATTTATTTTTTTGCTCAATAATTTTATTTTATTTTTTGGTTCACTAGTTCAACCCACATATATTATATAATTGAATTTATTTTTTTGCTCAATAATTTTATTTTATTTTTTGGTTCACTAGTTCAACCCACATATATTATATAATTGAATTTATTTTTTTGCTCAATAATTTTATTTTATTTTTTGGTTCACTAGTTCAACCCACATATATTATATAATTGAATTTATTTTTTTGCTCAATAATTTTATTTTATTTTTTGGTTCACTAGTTCAACCCACATATATTATATAATTGAATTTATTTTTTTGCTCAATAATTTTATTTTATTTTTTGGTTCACTAGTTCAACCCACATATATTATATAATTGAATTTATTTTTTTGCTCAATAATTTTATTTTATTTTTTGGTTCACTAGTTCAACCCACATATATTATATAATTGAATTTATTTTTTTGCTCAATAATTTTATTTTATTTTTTGGTTCACTAGTTCAACCCACATATATTATATAATTGAATTTATTTTTTTGCTCAATAATTTTATTTTATTTTTTGGTTCACTAGTTCAACCCACATATATTATATAATTGAATTTATTTTTTTGCTCAATAATTTTATTTTATTTTTTGGTTCACTAGTTCAACCCACATATATTATATAATTGAATTTATTTTTTTGCTCAATAATTTTATTTTATTTTTTGGTTCACTAGTTCAACCCACATATATTATATAATTGAATTTATTTTTTTGCTCAATAATTTTATTTTATTTTTTGGTTCACTAGTTCAACCCACATATATTATATAATTGAATTTATTTTTTTGCTCAATAATTTTATTTTATTTTTTGGTTCACTAGTTCAACCCACATATATTATATAATTGAATTTATTTTTTTGCTCAATAATTTTATTTTATTTTTTGGTTCACTAGTTCAACCCACATATATTATATAATTGAATTTATTTTTTTGCTCAATAATTTTATTTTATTTTTTGGTTCACTAGTTCAACCCACATATATTATATAATTGAATTTATTTTTTTGCTCAATAATTTTATTTTATTTTTTGGTTCACTAGTTCAACCCACATATATTATATAATTGAATTTATTTTTTTGCTCAATAATTTTATTTTATTTTTTGGTTCACTAGTTCAACCCACATATATTATATAATTGAATTTATTTTTTTGCTCAATAATTTTATTTTATTTTTTGGTTCACTAGTTCAACCCACATATATTATATAATTGAATTTATTTTTTTGCTCAATAATTTTATTTTATTTTTTGGTTCACTAGTTCAACCCACATATATTATATAATTGAATTTATTTTTTTGCTCAATAATTTTATTTTATTTTTTGGTTCACTAGTTCAACCCACATATATTATATAATTGAATTTATTTTTTTGCTCAATAATTTTATTTTATTTTTTGGTTCACTAGTTCAACCCACATATATTATATAATTGAATTTATTTTTTTGCTCAATAATTTTATTTTATTTTTTGGTTCACTAGTTCAACCCACATATATTATATAATTGAATTTATTTTTTTGCTCAATAATTTTATTTTATTTTTTGGTTCACTAGTTCAACCCACATATATTATATAATTGAATTTATTTTTTTGCTCAATAATTTTATTTTATTTTTTGGTTCACTAGTTCAACCCACATATATTATATAATTGAATTTATTTTTTTGCTCAATAATTTTATTTTATTTTTTGGTTCACTAGTTCAACCCACATATATTATATAATTGAATTTATTTTTTTGCTCAATAATTTTATTTTATTTTTTGGTTCACTAGTTCAACCCACATATATTATATAATTGAATTTATTTTTTTGCTCAATAATTTTATTTTATTTTTTGGTTCACTAGTTCAACCCACATATATTATATAATTGAATTTATTTTTTTGCTCAATAATTTTATTTTATTTTTTGGTTCACTAGTTCAACCCACATATATTATATAATTGAATTTATTTTTTTGCTCAATAATTTTATTTTATTTTTTGGTTCACTAGTTCAACCCACATATATTATATAATTGAATTTATTTTTTTGCTCAATAATTTTATTTTATTTTTTGGTTCACTAGTTCAACCCACATATATTATATAATTGAATTTATTTTTTTGCTCAATAATTTTATTTTATTTTTTGGTTCACTAGTTCAACCCACATATATTATATAATTGAATTTATTTTTTTGCTCAATAATTTTATTTTATTTTTTGGTTCACTAGTTCAACCCACATATATTATATAATTGAATTTATTTTTTTGCTCAATAATTTTATTTTATTTTTTGGTTCACTAGTTCAACCCACATATATTATATAATTGAATTTATTTTTTTGCTCAATAATTTTATTTTATTTTTTGGTTCACTAGTTCCCCCCCCCCCCCCCGCGCGTGTGAATTTATTTTTTTGCTCAATAATTTTATTTTATTTTTTGGTTCACTAGTTCAACCCACATATATTATATAATTGAATTTATTTTTTTGCTCAATAATTTTATTTTATTTTTTGGTTCACTAGTTCAACCCACATATATTATATAATTATCAATTATAAGTCTTCATATTAGGGATTCATAAGGAAACAAAAAAACGTGGATTTATTAATGTAATTACTCTATGTTTTTAATAGCATTTATCACTGACTTAAATGCATTTTTGTAGGATAGTGAATATAGAATGACATAAACTTCATTTAGATTTAAACTCATCCTTGAGTTGGTAGTTGTAGAGGGTCAGAAATTAAAGTAAAATTAAGTATGAGACTAAGTGCTGAGATTGCCCTTTTAAGGCGATCAAGAATGACTAAAAGAGCATGGACTAAAACTCAAGAGAAGTGGGTTAACAAATGGGCCGAAGCGAGTCCGACCTGTCAAAGATTCGAACAGACTCCACCAAGAAAAATGTCTAAGTGAAGTTGCAGAGGCAATCTAAAGTTTCTGAGGGAAAAAAAGAATCGAAGCAACTAAGTTACAGAGGCAACACTTGCAGCGTCAAGTTGCTGAGGCACTTTGCCTCAACGTTGCCATTCCCAATATTGTCGGTTCCGCCGCCATCTGAAGTTGTTGAAGGAAAGAGAAAACCGAAACAATTAAGTTGTAGAGGCAACACTTGCAACAACCAAGTTGTGGAGGTACTTTGTCGACGCTGCCATCCCTAATATTGTCGGGACTATCATTTGAATTTGCCGTGGGAAATGACTGTCGCAACAACTGCAGCCGCCTCAATTAATGTACAGAGAGAACACCCCGCCAAGGTGATGGCAGCCTTTGGGAGAAGCTTCCCCTCTACAAGTAGAGGCTAATGCTTGGCGTTGATAGCAAGCCCCAATCTAGCCTAAGGCTGATAGTAGGCCCCCAAAGTCATTTTTAACTCAGCATTGATTGCAAGCCCCGAAGCTCACTAGCTTGGTGCTGACAGTAAACCTCAAGGCTTACTAGTTGGAGCCTATAGCATGCCCAAAGATACGAGTATACCTCGATGATCCCGGGAAGATAGGAGCAAGGTAGCCTAAGTGTAAGGGACTCCATTTCCATTACCCAGGTCATGGACTTACCTTAGTGGCATAGGCAGGACTAAGGAAGTCCCCTTTGAGCTTGGTACTAAGGCACAGCATGGCTAATAGCAGGCTTGGTTGTGGCCTTCACCCTAGGAAGCTGGGGAATTTGTGGTTAAGTGACTAAGAGCGGAGGTTTCACTGAAGAGAACACAAAACATGGCTGATAGCAGGCTATGAAGTCTTAAGAATGCATGTATTGGCCAAACTAAACCGAGAAGGTAAGTGCAGCGGCAATGTTTTACCACAAGTACACTTGTCGAGGCTTACGCTGAGAAGGCGAGTTGTAGCGACAAACACTCCTGCCACAAGTGTACTAGCTAAGACATCTGTAAAGTTCATGCTGAGAAGGTAAGTTGTAGCAACAAACACTCCTGTTGCAAGTGCACTCGCTGAAGCAGTTATGCCAAACAGATAGTACACAATACATGCAGAGTGATGTGTGTCACTTCCAGCCTGGTAGTTCAAGGCAAAATATTTCATGTGATCCTCTAAGACACATGTCTTCTTTCTATTTGACCACTTAGTGTTCTCTTAGTACTAAGGAAAAATCTATAAATAGAACCCATTTCCAAGCTCAAGGAAGGATAATAGGGGATTTGAGGGAGATGTTGCCCATTTGTACACTGTCATTCTCTTCTTCTTGAGCTGCTTGCTTCACCCTCACCTAACTACTCATTCTCTAGCCGTTCCACCATTGTTGGACCATTAGCATAATTTTACCTCTCTAATCACTACTCATACTAAACCCCTCTCTACAGTGGTTATGGATTTGATCTGCAAGGAAAAACAACAATTTCTTTCTTTGATTAATACTTTAACTCCAATAAAATTTGTATAAAATTATAAAAATTAGGGTACCAATAAAGGAGTATTGAGTAAGTCCAAAGAAAATAAACTACTTCAGGCTCTAAGCAAGTGAGAATTTGAGAATACCGAATATAGATTAATTTTCCCATACTAAATCTGTTTCGTTTCCTCTACCTCTTCATCTCCAACTTCAAACTATGATCAAAGTAATCACAAACTTATCATTTCACAACACAAATGCTGCTTCAATCCATACATATCCCCGAGAAAACAATGGATTCAATTCAAACATTGGGCAACCTCATCCTCAGAGGTGTCCAAAGTAACTTTGTCACATTGTAGTTTGTGAAACTAGAAGGCAACAACCTTCCCGAAGGATGCATAAAAGAAAAAATGGTGAAATCAAAAAATGAGAGAGAGAGAGAGAGAGAATGTATAATGCAAAGAGGCACCAAATGCATGGAATAAATGTTCAGTAAAACCCAACTGAGCCTGCAATGATTCACCAACAACATCCAGCTTACAATTCCGCCAGCAAGGCATGAAAAGCCCATTAAAATGAGACAAATCAAACAGTAAATTTTTCAAGCAAGGTATCGATACAACTTCCTATCCACTTTGTCCCTTTCTAAAAACTCGCGCTCAATAAGGGACTCAATTCGTTTCTTTATTACAACAGGGTTTGGCAGAAATCGTGATTGCAGTTGCTTTGTGACCTCAGCAACAATATTGTTGTGATCAAGCACTCGCCGCGACTTCATGATCCTCACAATTGCCGCCTCAATCTGGGGCTTCCTGTCCTCCTCCACTCTCTGCCGGGTCTCCTGCTTTTCTGGTTCAGACTCCTTTTGTGCCACAACAGTACCTATCTTAACCTTGAATAACTTGCTTGTGAACTTGTCGTTGAAAAAGAAGGCATCATCCTCCGCCACTTCTTTGCTCATAGGCTCTTTCCGCAGGATATTCTTCCCCCTAACACAGGCCAAAGACTGCAGAGACCTTTTCAAGTCCGAGGCAGGTATCTCCGTTGCCTGCTCTATTTCTTTGTAACTTAGCCGATCAGTACTGTTGAATAACATAAGGATACACATCTGGTATGTGGAAACATTCAGCTCGTGCTTCTGGCCCTTGCCAAATGTTGCTTTCAAATCAGCCGAGCCCATATTTGTCTGCCAGGTCAACCTCCGCCCAGTGTGGGTCCCAAGATAATACATCCGAAACTTATCACATATCCCCAGGATTTCTGACGGAAGGTTGCAAGTGACACTCGACTGAGTCGGCCAAGAGCCTGTTGTGAGGACCTGGACAGCAAGTGTAGGGTAGTCTGCTATTTCAGCACCCATGCTTGCATAGAACCCCTGGATGGTATCGTGAGATGTCTTCATGTCGGTGAACATACCTTCCAACTTTGATGTAAATTGATACCCACATTCTGTTTTGAGCTTAACTATCAAACTTCTCTCTGCATCATCAGAGACAGTTTTCCCTGACAGAAGCCTCTTTGCCAAATGCTGCTTGTAATACTTTTCAAACACATCCTTCTCTTGGAGGTAACGGAAAAGCATCATCACCTTGTCTAGTACAATCTCAACATCTTCCTCATTAACCCCTTTCAGTCCTTTCCGAAGCTTATCGTCCACAAACAAAGATATGAACTCTGGAGACCGAGGGTTCAAATTTATAAAATATTCAAATGAGGAATTCAAAGCATTCTGGAATGTCTTGTCACTGTTAAATGCCAAATTTATAATCTTATCATGTTTATCCTTCTCATCCAAGAGCCGCTGCACAAAGTCTACAGGATCCTTTAACCTTTCTGGATCAGTAACTAGTTGCTTACCTGTATCCCGAATGTGAGAAGTCATCACATCTCTAATTATTGGGAGTCCACTAGGCACCCTGCGGAACAAACTATACATCCTTCCCAGGTCCTCATATTTGTCATCCACAACCATATTAACTAAGCCTGAGTTTTCCATATGGACTAATCTCTGCATTTGACTCTCAATCATCTCCATCTCAACCACATAGGTGATCTTGGCTTCACTTTTCAAATCCAAGTAGTGGGAGACTCTCTCAATCTCTTCATTAAGACGTCTCTCAGCTTTCTTTAGATAATCCCCACAATCACAGCACTCGATGAACTGTTGAGACTCACCACGGTAGAAATCAGCTGAGACCTCCAGAAAAGGTTTCTCAAAGTCATCTTGGTAAACAGAAGAACCTAAATCCATTAACATTTTTATTATATTCCTCATCAACCCCCTGTTTATAACTTCACCAGTCCTTTCTCTCTGCACAAGTTCAAGGAGTGTATCCTGAAGCCTTGATTGGATTTTGTTAGAGTGGATAATGTTGTCCCTCCACAAATTCAACCCTAGCTCATGAACTGGGGTTTTGTGTGTGCTAGGGATGAAAGTCCTGTCCATGTACATCAAAATATCTCGGATCATTTGCAATGCCTTGTTGTGTTCTGCCCATTTCCTGTTTAACTCTTCCAGAAACAAACCTCCCTGAGCAGCCTCAATTGATTTTGCTATTTCCTTTAGATGCAATGTCATTGTTGACACAAGTCCCGAGTAGAGTTTCTCTCCAAATTTGTGCAGAACCATATTGTAAGCATTCCTGAATATATACCAAATAAACATCAGAAGTGTATGGAAGTTAGCTAGAAGGCTTTTAACAAGCTATTGCCAACATGCAACATATCACATTAATGCCATGATGAAACAATTCAAATATATTCCAGGCAGATCAACACATGGACAACAAACTGATTTGAAAAAATCAACACAAACCCCCAGTATCAGGGGATAGCTAGAAAGGGCAAACTAGGATAGATTGACATCAAACTATCAAAGACAATAACTCAGAGAATAGAGGACCTACGAAAGAGAAATAAAGTGGTTCATTAAAAGAACAGGTTTCAATGAGCTTATGATTGCAACATATAGCAAAAGGCAAACTGCTTACTAGGCCTGCAACTATTTTCAAGTGGGCCATTTGTTGGACAGGATTTAGTTCTGGTGGGAGGGGACAGTGAACACAACAACGTCAGTTCTTGGACCAGCTGGACAAAATTAAATCCATGATGCACAATAATAATAAAACAAAATAAATTTGCCTCATCTAAGATACACCAATGAAGCGTTATTTCTTTTGCCTAACATGTTGTCTAAAGCATAACCAACTTTCCCTGCTGATTTATAAGTCAAAGAACACCCCAACACATCTTCAGTTCAGCCTCCAACTCTAATTCTCCATATAAAAGTTCTTAAACTATGAATCATAATTAATTTGAAACCCTCAAGTTTCATGGAATCTAGTAGTGACTAACTACATTACCGAAACTAATATTGGGCATAAGCTTACCCCTTCATCTAACAGTGAATGAGACTATGAACTCAAATTTTAAAAGCAAATCTTGTAAGGGAATCATATCAATGAATGAAGGATGCTCTTCCTTTCAATAATTCAGCACTGAGATAACAAAGCTTAAGGCACACTGACATTGAAGTGTATACTTGGAAAAGGAAAGAAAAGATAAAATCCAGGTGAACAACACACCTTATTGTTACTTCTTCTTTGACTAGTCCTAAAATCCCAACACTTTGCCACATGTTATTCTGGACCCAACAGCACATCAACTTCAAGTTTAATCAAGGGATGATCACAGCCCACAGATCAACCTTCTCAACGTCCTCCTATGAGTGTTAGTATTTATCTCCCACATTAAACACCACACAGTTTGTGGTGAAAGTGCTAAGATAAATTACCACAACAATCTCCAAGAACACCACTAAAACATGAGGACCTATTCTGCCCCAAGCACAAGAGTTTGAATCTAAATTTAATCTCACTCAACCAAAAAAAACCAAGCCCAGGCTTTCTAATTGCACAAGAACTAACATTCCAATCTCTAAAAATAAATCTCAATGCACCCCCACTTTCAAGCATTTGAAATATTTATATGGATCAAACAACCACATTCTAGGTTTTCACATTAGACTATATAAATGGAATGTTTCAAGCACAATAAATAAATCCCAACTAGAACTACCTGCCATATTCTGAATTTCTTAGGTTAAAAAAAGAAAGTTAAGACTTGGACCCTTCACATCCTCCTTTGTTGCTGCTAGATTTACACTGTCATACACCTCAAGCTGACAATTGGTGATCAGCTCCCTTCCTTGAGTTGGGATGGAGGGCTCTCTTTCTTGCTAATGTAGTTTTCTTTTGATCGTGTACTTTTTCTACCTGTGCTGCTGAGGGACCCCTCATCCTTCATTTAAACATTTCTTTTATCCAAATGAATACATTTATCTCAGGCATACATACAAATGCACCCAGCATTATTCATACAGGCTTCCTTTGATTCTCCTGATTACACTCATACAGCAGGGCCTACATACAATGAGTCGATGACCATGAAACCTAGTTTTTGTTGTAAATCAATCCTTCATTTGAACAAATTGACTCTAATGACCATCTTTTCCTCTCCCCCAAAACAATGAAGGCATATTGATTATTGTTTTTGAAATCTTAAAATATTTATATTTGGATGAGCAATTTTTTTAATAAAAAATAATTCCGTGTCAGAATTTAGAAAATCCTTCACCATTAAAGGATAGGTGCTATGATTTACATGAAAATAAAAAATCTGAAGGTTGAGAATTTTCACACATCTTTACCACATGATTAATGAATCTACTTTCACAGACATAATTTAGAGGAAACACAAACAGAAGAAGACAAAGATGAAAGCTGATATCAATTACAATAAGGAAAAAGTGACACATGGAACTATGGAAGCAGTGACCATCCAAAACAAGATGGGGCAGGACGTCATCACGTCAATCTATTCATGGAGGGAAAATGGATAAAGAGTGTCAAAAGAGTTTTTTTTTTGATAAATAAAGATTTATTAAGAAAGCATCAAGGAGATGCCAAAAGAATACAAAACCAACCCTTCAAACAGGGACCTAACCAACTAAATCATCAACAGAGTCTAAAACAACAAATAAATTAGGATCTACTGTTCTCGACACTCAATTGTGCAAAACACCGCAAAACTAAGACTCTAACTGAACAATCGATTGAGCACACCCCTTAAAACCCCGACGATTCCGCTCCAACTAAAGCAACCACATCAAACACAAAGGAGCTAATACCCAGGCTCTCTGCCGTCGCTTCCCAACTCAACCACCCCCCCAACAATGAAGCACATCCATAACCTACTTTGGTTGAGCCCACACCACTCTAAACAAAGAAAAAAACAAGCATCCACAAGCGAGAAGCAACCAGACAGTGAATAAACAAATGATCCACTGTCTCCACATCCGCACAACACATGCAGCACCAATTCACCAAAATATGATGCCAACGGATCAGATTATCAATAGTCAAAATTCTACCAAATGTTGCCGTCCATACAAAGAAAACCACCTTCAACGGAACACCAAAAAACCACACGTGACACCGAAGGGAAAGACCTCCCACCACCGCCACACAAAGTCCCATAAAATGACAAGACGGAAAAAAACACCTTTCGCCCATGGAACCTCAAACCAAAATATCCTCCCCCTCCCAACCGATCTTAACCTCATACAAAAAAGCCAACAAATCCACCAACTGCCCAAACTCCCAATCTCGAGTCTGCCAATGAAGCACTATATCCCAAACCAGCCCCTCACCTCCTCCATCCAAATATGAAGCCACCATCACATCAGGATCTATCGCCAACTGAAAGATCAAAGGGAAACACTCCTATAAAGTAATCTCCCCACATCACCGATCCTTCTAAAACAGCATGCGCGTTCCATTACCTACTCGATACTGGATTTGATCCCAAAACCCAACCCTACCTAACCAAATAACTTTCCACAATCCGCACCCATGAGAACCCCCCACCTCCTTGGTGCACCATTCACCCCTCCCTAACCCATACTTAGATGCCACCGCCCTCCGCCATAACTAATCCCATTCATTGGAAAACCTCCACAACCACTTTCTTAACAAAGCCAAATTAAACTTACACAACCTCCTCACCCCCAACTCCCCATCCTCCTTATGACAACAAATCTGCTCCCAACTAACAAAATGATACCAAAACTCCCCATCATCACTTCCTCACAGAAAATCTCGCTGCAACTTCTCCAAGCGGCAAGCCACATTAAGTTGAAATTTATGAGAATTTAGGTATCTCATTCTCATAGATTCTTCCAAACTCATCCCCACTTGTACTCACATTTCCAATAACTCCATCTTCATTCCAGTATCGGTGGGGCAGGGCGGGGCAAATTTCCACCCCTAAATGGAGGTAGTATTGAGACAAGCAGCAATGACTTATATAACCAAGCCAAAGCATTATGGTAGGTGGAGTGGAGGTGAAGCCAGACAAAAGCGACACTAAAAAGGGCAGCAGTTACACCCAAGCAACAAATGCAGTAGTGGTATGATGGGATCAGTTGAAGGTGCGGCCATATGCATATCATATGTTTATACTGAATTTTTTAACCATAATGCAAACTCATGTATCCCACCAAATTTTAAAGATGCCAAATCTGTAATTGCAGTGGATTCAGAGTTTTCTGATCATAAATCCAATAAAATTTGCACACAAGAATGTAAAAGTCTAATGAAAATCCGTGAATTACAAATCCGCAGTTCCATCTATAAAAATTACACGGACAGCCCGGTCTGCCCTCTAGAGACTTCCATTTCTAGAAAAAGTACTTGGACATCCACTACGACATGTTGAATACATGCCCAGTCATGTCCTCTAAGCAAAGACTAAACCGCAGACAACATCAACACACACACACACAAAAGAATTGTTAAGTGTAAAAGAATAAACTACTTAAATATGTTGAATATAAGATTGACCAAACAACCCAAAAAAAATAATTGAGCCAGGTTGAGCACAAGATCACATTATTGTTTCGACATAGTTAAGGTAAAATCAAGCAAACATAAAATGCATGCCTCACAAGTTTATTTCTTCTTTTTTTTCTCCCTCGATTTGTGGATACCAAAATTTCCCGAAAACCCTAAATATTAATCCGCTACTTTATTTGCACCGAAAGCATATTTGGGTTTCAAAAATTACAAAATGAATCAGAAACAATTCCAGAAAAAACACAAGCAACGATATGGGAATCGAAATCCAGCTAAAGGGTAAACTAGTTAGTAGTAGTTCTAGAATCATATTATCATCATTTTGCAATTGGCTCAATAACAAAACATATAAAAATGTAAAAACTAGGAAGTTGAGAAATCAAAATCAAACCTATAAAGCTCCTCAAAACTAAGTCCACTAGCGTTGTGATTGTATATCTCGTGAATCGCATGTTCCAAAATCTTCCAAGTCTTCTCGGCATATTTCGGATCCACCACGACCCGATGCTTAAAAGCTTCTATCTGAAAATTCCTCTTCTTCTGAGCACTCATCTTCACCAATTCCCAATCAACACAGCCCTCCAAAAATCCAATCCGAGCCCCTTTAAAACCCGAATTGTTTCAACGATCGAAATTAGGGTTTGAAAAATCAGGATTGTGAGTTTATATTAAAGATGATAACGAAATGGAAGGGACGTACGTAGTCGATGATGGAGGGAATATGTGAAAGACTATCAGAAATGTGAACGCAAAAGAATCAGAGATCGAATCGACGAAGCAAGAGAAGAAACAAAACAATCTCTTCAAGTAATGCAAAGTTTTTTTTTCTAAGAGTTTTTATTTATTCTAATTTATTTATTATTATACACCCAATATGATAATTGTAAATGGTGGAAATCACCCGAGTCACACGTCACGTCCTGATTTTTTATTTTAGAAAAAATAATTTAAAAATAAAATTTTTATTCAAATGAATCTATTTTCTGAATTTTTTTAAATAAATAAAATATAAAAGTATAATTTAGAATTATTAAACAATCTTTCTTTGAATTAAAATTATATGAAAATAATGAGTGATTTTTCTTTTTAATTTTTTTCACTAAATATTATTTTTTGTAATTTCAAAAATCAAATGAAAGATAACCAATAATATATTTGTTAATGACATTTTTAATATTATAATAATAATTGTTTAATTAAAAATACAAAAAAACACATTATTTTGTATATCAGAAATTTATGAAATTCATATTGGTTGAAATGGTGATAATTGAAAAGGGAATACTAAAAAAGGTAAATTACAAATACATTTCCTGATGTTTGATTAAAATACAAATCACTCCTAATGGTTTTGAAAATTACATTCTACCCTCTGAAGTTTCTAATTTCATAACAAATCGCCCATATATCCATAAACAATTCATTTTAACTATTTCAACAGTATTATTATGGTTTCATAAATCGAATTAAAAGTAGTTATGAGTCAAATTAGTTAAATTTAAAACTAAACTCAAAATCAAATTGGAAAAAATATGTGCTATTTTGTGTGTGCCATATGGGCTATTTATTTTTGCTACATCTAAAAAAAAATATGGGGCTATTTTGGAAAGATGAAAATAAGTAGTGTTTTTGCTTCTTGGCTTATGCCCAAAATTATTTAAGAAGATGAAAAAAAACTACTTCTTTGCTTTTTTTTCAAAATTGTTTTATATGTTATCACATCAGTAGGCAAAGAGATAGATTGATCATATTACCTTCACGAGAGGGTGTTTGGGAAGAAACTTTTTTGGCTAAAATAATACTAAAAAACAAAATAGATTAAAATAATCAATAAAATAAAATGTCACATCAAATTCATAATCATTCATTTTTTTCTCACAAACATCACATCTAACTATAAAAAAATCTAATCATCTTTCCAAATATAAAAATTTTAACATACTAAAATAACAAATAACTAAAATAACCTACAAATATAACAACTTTCCAAACACCCATATGTGAAATTACGACTTTATCTTAGTTCTCTTTTCATACTCAGATGAATATTTTCATAATTTTAAAAGTCGACTTATTTCTTACTTGCCAAATGATTTTGTGGATTAGGATCCCCTCCAGCCATAATTCCCTCCAACAATGTCCTGCACTTTGTATCAGATGAAGACGCGTGGAGAAGAGTTGATCCAGTGGGTTGAAATGAACCACGTAGTGTAAATGGTGAGAATAAATAAGAATAGTACCGTTTTCAGAAAACGACACCGTTTTGACTAACGGTGCCAATGACAACAAAAGCAACAACCTGTTATTCTCTCTCTCTCTCTCTCTCTCTCAAAATTTCAGTCGAAGGAAAGCAAAAAAAAAAAAAGACCATGGATTAGCCATGTTCTCTCATGTTTACCACAAACCCTAGAAGAAGATCAAATTAGAGAGGGATTCAACCCAGAAAATCGCCGTCGTGCATCCACCTGCAACGGCGCCGGCGTAAAGAACCCTCCACATATCAAATTCATTTTTGCAGAGACACACCATTTGGGTGTTATCAATTCTCTCTCTCTCTCTCCCTCTTTATATATATATATATATATGGAAAATGTCTCGTACCTCAAATTTTGTGATTCAAAAGTGACTCAAATGGTTAAAACGACGTCGTTTTGGCCATTTTTATGTTGTTCTGTACTCAAAACGACGTCGTTTTGGCCATTTGAGCCACTTTTGAGTCACAAAATTTGACTTATGTAGCATTATCGTATATATATATATCCCAAGAAGAGATGTATTGATTTGCTTAAAGTCTTGTGTTTTGTCTTCAAGAAATTTAGGACTTTGTTTTAAATTCTCAGACAAATCAACTCCATCTATTTGTGTGTTTTTTTTTTTTTTTAAACAAATTTAACTCTTCTCTCTATATATATTTTGTTTTTTATACTTGTATCAAATTTAGTGTTTTTTTTAATTATTTTTTATTATTGTATCAGATTAATACTTTTTTATCCAATTGCATTGAAAAAAATGTTATTGCAATTGGGGCTCTGTTTTATTTATTTATTTATTTATTATTATTATTACATTTGGGGCTTTGGTTTTTTTTTTTCTTTTTTCTTTTAATCCATGTATCAATGTGCATTTTATTGAAAGATAATAACATGTTAGTATTATTATAAATTTTTTTTTGTGAATCTGCATTCTTAAGGCCTCGTTTGGGAACCCTCCATTTTAGTCAAAAAGTCAAAAAGTTACTAAATTAGTCAAAAAGTCAATAACTCATATCAAAAAGTTAAAGATTCTCTTTTCTCTCTACTTTTTGCACATTTTTTCGTAAAAAGTCAAAAAGTTATTACAAACATACTAATTTTTTTAGCTCATATTTTAACCAAATAACTAAAAACTTACTAAATTAGCTTGTTTCCAAATGAGGCCTTAGTATAAGAAAAAATTAGTTTATTGGATTTGTTACCTAATTTATTGGTTGTTGGTGGTTGTGAATGTTTGGTCTTTAAATATTAACTATGTTGCAGGGATTTCATATAGATTTTTATCATTTATGGTGCAAAATATGCTTGTTTTGTCATGTGTTAGTGAAGGTCAAAGTTTCAACAACTAGGGGGAGCATACTGATGCACAAGTGGATTGCAAAGCAAGGATCAAAGTTGTTGGGCTATAGAAGTAGTAGAGAAGTATTGTGCAAAGCTGAATGGCTGGTGCTTGCTTTGGTCAATGATGGATTCTAAGGGGGCTGGGGGACAGTCGCACTTCTAAAAATTTGAAAAATATCATAAATTATATTAAATTTTTTTAAATAATTTAAAATTATAGGAGTTCGTAATATCAAATTTTTTTTAGATAATTTCAAAATTATATAGAGTAACCCCCCTCAATTTTTTAAACTATAGAGTAGCCCTTCAAAGTCATAATCTTAGATCCGTCCTGGTTTTGGTTGCTTCCTTGTTTATGAATCTAATAGCTTTGTGGAAAAAAATGTAAACCTTTGAATAACAAAATGTAAACTTTCTATTTATTTTGTAAGCATTGTATGTAAACATGAATTTCAGAACATAAACCTTACACTTTGGATCATTTACCATGTGTATTATCAAGAAATCAAGACAAAATGACATACCTGAATCCATCGATGAACGGTTAAACGGAAGCGTCTGATTGTCAATAAAACCTTTGATATTGACTATGTAATTATATAGAGTAACCCCCCTCAATTTTTTAAACTATAGAGTAGCCCCTCAAAATCATAATCTTAGATCCGTCCTGATTTTGGTTGCTTCCTTGTTTATGAATCTAATAGCTTTGTGGACAAAAATGTAAACCTTTGAATAACAAAATGTGAACTTTCTATTTATTTTGTAAGCATTGTAATGGAGATTAACAAAATGTAATGGTAGTGCACCATTCAACATTTTAATGACATCGGTGAATTTTTTTTTAATGAACAAACAAAAGATTTATTTTGTATCATGACTTTAGGGCACCAATTTTTTCAATCTCTCTATATATATGTATGTATATGTGTGTGTGTGTGTTAGATTTTTTTTTTTTTTTTTAATGTATTTTGAAAAACATGCCCTTCAACATTGATGCAGTAGCCACTGCTTGCTAAGGATTGAATTGGAGTCATTGCCTAGTCCTTACCAAGAATAAAATGATTTTGTTTCAGATTGCTTTGGAGTTAGAAAATAATCTCTTTTATCAAAGACAAGATAAAACTTAGTCAACCCTTGGACCGGCAATACCTATAACAATTGCTAATAAGTAAATAAAAGTTGCAGGGCTAGATGTCAAATAGCATATCAACCAATAGATTAGCAATTAACACAGAAGATGCTGAGCCTTGAACTCTAGGGAAGCTATAAAGCAATGGAAAAATCTGCAAACTAACTTCACTTTAGACCATGGCAACTTCTCTAAACTTCCAATAAATTTGGCTGGACAAAAGTTCAAAAAAACAGAGTTCACTTATTTCCAAATAAATGTTTACTACCACCGACAAACTTTCTAATTACCTTACGGGGATAGCTTTGACATCAATTAAACAAATTTCAAAACGGAAAAGTTCAGCAACAACAAAGTTCAAAAACAAAAGATCATAGCATCAATAGTTGGTCATCAACAACAATCTTTCACTTGTTTCCAAGATGTTCTGAATTTGAAGGATTTGAAGGTGTATGGGTGTTCTAACCAATGTTTAGATTGTCAACCTTTGAGAGAGAAAATAAAAATAAAAATTAGAACAAGTTAAAAAATATATAAATCAAAAATTTTCGTCATAATTCATATTATACTCCTGTGTGATATTTGAGCATTGTGATGGGTAAAGCGCATTAGTTCCTTGAAGTAAGGCTTGGAAGCTAGTGAATTGATGTTTTCCATTCCATAACCAAGGCATTGAATTGGGTACTTGACCATATGGTGTCACTACGTATGAGGGCATGTTTGGATGTACTTGTACACCCTAAAAAAGAGAATTTATAGAAATGAACTTAAATAAAGTAAATAATGTGAAGAAAAGAACAAAAAATTAAGTAATAACTACTTTTTTTTTTCTTGAAGTGGCCAAAATTAATTAAAAAATTAAGTAATACCTCAACAGATGTTCTTTTCTTTCTTGATGTTTCCAATGACTTTTCCAAACTATTTTTAATTTGTCACGGTGAGAGTCAATCTTTTTCTTCAACCCCTTCCCTTGAATGAATTTTTCGCCGCCCTCATTCATAAACATTTCAGAGCTGTCATCATTCATATCAAGTGTTTCATCAATAACATGTAATTGTAATTTGCTTTCAACAAGTTGAAGCAAATTTTTCCCTTGCTCAATGACAATTCATAGGTTT